CCCTTCTCCCCGCTCACGTCCAATCGTCGTAGAGCCCTCGAGCACGCCCTGTCTCAGGTTCTTCAGCCTCACCATGACCAGTAAAGACCATGCACCATGACATGCGCAATACATATAAACATAAGCTTGTCTGGTCGACACGCTCTTGACTGTCTGGGCAAGGCCGATCATTATTGTGGATGTGCCGGACTTCTTCTCAAACGGCTTCGTTCCCCCGTCCTCGTGCTCACGCCGTCCAATGGGAGCCAGCCAGAGGTAAGAGGCGAGATGCTCTTCCATCCGGATACACGGCATGCGACTGCACGCCGACGGCGGGAAAGGGACTAAAGGGTGCGGCCACCTTCCACTTGGCGACAGGCTCCATGCGCCGCATGCGCACGCGTGGGAGGGAGAAGAACGTGCTAGTGTTAGTGCTACAGTAAGTAGTACATGGACGCAATCACCTATATATACGATAAGGTGCCTGGCCTTTGCTAGCACCACAGCATCAAGTACCTTTGGCTTTGACCGTATCTCACCATACACATGGCCGCCTACGCTGCTTCAGCTGCTTCAGCAGCCCTGGCTGCCATCACCAATGCAGCCCAGTTCGGCCCAGCTGCGAACCAGGACCAGCCAGACATGTACACTGCCACTCAGACGGCTTCCGTGTACGCTGCCCAGGCCACCGCCCCGACGTACGAAGCCGGCAACCTCTACCATCCAGGCCGTGTTTTCGATCGATACGTCGAGATCTGGCTCGAAAACACCGACTACGACAAGGCCGCCGGTGACCCAAACCTGGCCTGGTTGGCCAAGCAGGGCATTACCCTCTCCAACTACTTCGGTGTCACTCACCCATCGGAGCCAAACTATGTCGCCGCAATTGGAGGGGATAACTTCGGAATGGACAACGACAAATTCAACCAGGTGCCAGACAACACCTCCACCGTCATCGACCTGCTGGAGGAGCGCGGCATCTCCTGGGGCTCATACCAGGAGGACATGCCGTATACTGGCTTTGAGGGCTATGCCTGGACCAACCAGAAGACCGGCGCCAACGACTACGTCCGCAAGCACAACCCACCCGTCATCTACAACGCCAACACGAGCCCAAGACGTCTGTCCTACCAGAAGAACCTGACCCAGTTCTATGACGACCTCGAGGCCAAGAGACTCCCGCAATGGATGTTCATCACTCCCAACATGACCTCGGACGGTCACGACACCTCCGTCACTGTTGCCGGCACCTGGTCTCGCAACTTCCTTGAGCCCCTGCTGTCCAACCCCTACTTCATGGAGCGCACCCTCGTTCTCCTCACCTTCGACGAGAACCACACGTACTCTCTCGCCAACCGCGTCTTCTCCATCCTCCTGGGTGGCGCCGTTCCCGAGAGCCAACACGGCACCACTGACTGTCAATACTACAACCACTACTCCGACATCTCCACCGTCGAAGCCAACTGGGGTCTGCACACCCTGGGACGCTGGGACGTGGGCGCCAACGTTTTCAAGCTCGTTGCCGACGAGACCGGCGACATCTACCGCCCCAGCGACGAAGTGGCCGGCTCCACTCCCTCGCAATTCCTCAATGCCTCCTTCCAGGGCCCTTTCAACACCCAGAAGACCGTAGGCTACGCTCCTTGGCCCGTTCCAAACGTCTTCGCCGTCTCGCCACGGACTCTCCGCACCGTCTCTCCAAGCATCATTGCCAAGTACGCCGGTCAGCAGAACTCGCAGCAGATGTACTACAACGATTCTCAGATCATCCCGGATGGTTGCCACCCACCAAAGGGCTACGTTGGTAACTGCTAGATGTTGAGATTCGCATAGCGTTTGGCGTTGAGGTAATACTGTCTATAGAGATTAGACCACGCATCGATTTCCTCTAGCTTTGACGTGCTGGTCGTTTGCCTTGCTTCGCCTCCCTTACATTCCCCCTTAACTCAAGCCCTGGCTCGTAAAACGTCCAACTGATGAGGTGGAAAGTCTCACACAGTGTGCCTCCCGCTTCACGCGCCAGTCATACCGTGACCATCTCGCCATACGTAGCACCTTGCCATCACGTACCTACAATCTACTACAGACTGTCACCACAGCAAGCAAGCAATGCAAGAAGACGACGCATGGAAACTTCCGGGCGCCTCAAAAGCGGAATCTGGGGAAGATCCCTGCAAAACCATGGGTCCAGCAGGAATAATTGTAAATCCTCTGATTGGTCCGGGAGCCTTGTACCGTGAGCGAGTATTTCAAAGGCGCCTAGTAAGGTAAGGTAGGTATTTTATGAAGAAAAAAGAGCTCATCAGACACTGCGAGCTTGCTTGTGAGAGCTAGAAATCATACCTCCTGATTTTTTTTATTTCTCTTCCTCAAAACAAAAAACCCAATCCAAAACGTCTTCAGCGTTTAAACACCTTCTCACAGGGAAACAAGGGGAATCAGTGAGGAAAATTATGGCGCTCGTGTATCTCAAACGCCTCATCTTTCCCCAGAAGAAGACGAAGACAAGCGCAGGCGAACGTCAACGCCTCCTGCTCGACGTAGAACGCCAGTCTTCCGTCGACTCGGGTCTCACGAGCCATGACTTCGACGACAAACCAGCGCCCCAAAACAGCAGCTCCTTCCTCCGCTGCAAGATCAACCCACGCATCATCTCGGACGCTACCATCGGGCTCTCCGACGGCCTGACGGTCCCCTTCGCCCTCACGGCAGGCCTCTCCGCCCTAGGAACCACCCGACTCGTCATCTACGCCGGTTTCGCCGAACTCGTAGCCGGCGCAATCTCCATGGGTCTCGGCGGCTACCTGGGCGCCAAGAGCGAAGCGCATGGCTACTACGCCGCTCTCTCGGAAACCAAAGACGTCGTCGCCCACGATACGGAAAAGGCCTGCGGCATGGTGCGGTCTACGTTTGCGAGGTACAATTTCTCCGTTGCGACGATGGATGCGATGGTGAGGAATTTGATGGAGCAGCCCGAGGGACAGGGACAGTTTGTGGAGTTTTTGATGCGGTTTCATCATCAGCTCGCCGAGGCGGATTTCACGCCTTCGAGGGCGTATGTTTCCGGGTTGACGATTGCGATGGGGTATTTCTGTGGTGGATTGGTGCCGCTGTTGCCGTATCTGTTCTTTGAGCGCGTACGGGAGGCACTGTATTGCAGTATTCTGGTCATGGCCATTGCGCTGTTTGTTTTCGGATGGGTGAAGACTGCGCTGGTCGGCGAGTGTAGCCGCTGGGTTTGCTTTCAGAATGCTATCCAGATGCTGGTCCTGGGTGGACTTGCGGCGGGAGCTGCGATGGGTTGTGTCAAAGCCATTGGAGGAGGAGAATGATCGGATGGGCTTGCGCTTTGTGATTGCTTTCATCGCGCCTTCTTGGAACAGCCTGGCTGCACGGCGCGAGCGCTATCTGGCTGTAACAGAACATCGCTGACGATGATCCCGAGAATCAAACAGTTGATCAAGAAGAATACCATACTCGCCACCCATAGGCCAGGTACGAAAGTGGATTGGCCCAGGAACTCAAGCTCGTATCCTTGCTGAAGCCACAAAGCCTGGCCAACAACCCAGAGAGTGAGCGCCATGAAGCCTAGTCTGGGCTTCTTGAGAAGTGTAGAAGACGGCAGGTAGAAAGGCAGGAAGACCATGTACCATAGAAAGTACTGCTTTTTGATCAGCAGACGAATGACAATGATGACAGCAATTGCCCTACCTGACTCGTGCAGACCTTGTTGAACGTGACGAATGCAAACGTCTGAGCCAGCATCGAGCTCGCAAGGTCCTTCTTAGCCATGGAGATCGGGATCGCGAGGACTGAAAGGAAGAGTTGAGGTAAAAATGCGAGCGATTCAATGCGAAGCCCAGAATCGATGCCTTGCAGTGAGCTGAGATGCAAGACCGTGTTGTAAACCGAAAAGTTGTGTCGGTGGTCGATCCGAGTGAGATGGTAAGCAAAGCTGTGCTCGATGAATGGCATACCATATCTATGAAGATCAGCTCTAGTACTAAGCACTCCTTGCTTTCGTAAAACGCACCTGTTGTACATGGCAACATTGAAAAGCATAAAAGTCGCAAAGCTCGAAACCGCAAGAACGATCCGATTTCTGCTAAAGAGCGCGAACGCTCGATCAAGAATCGAAGCATCCTTATCCACTGGCTTCTGCTCTCTCCCGAGCCACCAGAAGATACTCGCCGCATAAATAAACGGGTAGATCTTGAAGTGAACCCCAACCCCAAGCAAGCACCCAGCAAGTACCACACGCCTACTGAGCGTCGCCCAAAGCAGCCCTACCACCAGAACAGCCAACAAACCCTCCGAACTGCCCCTCGTAGATATCTGCGCCACCATGGGATTCAACAACCAGATCGCCGCGAATTTCAACGCCCTTGCCTCGGCCAAGCCCCTCTCTCTCAAGATCCGGAAAATCATCCATCCGGTCAAGACATCGCTCGCTGCGAATAATGCTTTTCCGAATTCGAACCAGAGACCGTGGGACCATGTCGTGGGGAGGAGGAGCCAGGCTAGGAGGGGCGTGTAGCGGTACGTGGCCCTGTCGTAAGGGGAGGGAAATCTTGCAGCGTCGGTGAAGACGTAGTAGTCTATGTCGGTGTATTTGAGAGGGGAGTGGGCGTCTTGCCAGCGGCTGTAGAGGAGGAGAGCCAGGCGGAGGAGGATGGAGATGAGGAAGATGAGGGAGGGACGCCAGAGGCGTGATGGGATGGTCGTCATGGTTTGAGGGGCATTTGATAACATAAACGCAAGGTAATGATCGGAGACGTCGCGTACAGTCGTGTTTAATTCCAAATGGTGGTGCTGGATATTGATTCAAGCCAGAGGTGGAAGGGTGAGGTTGGTTTGTAGTAATAGGAGTTAGCCCTAAGCGCTAGTATGCATGAGGCAATGGCGATGAGCTTTTAGCCAAGACCCTTGACTTCACGACTTGGATCCGCAAATTTTTTTCTCCTCTCGCCATCATTACTTCAAATTTCAATTGAGCAAACATCGAGGCAGCATTGACGGCGACCACCGCAGCTTTCAATGGAGGCCTAATGATGTGCAGCTGAAAGGCAACTCGCTTCCAAAAACACCGAAATCCACCTCATAGACCTCAGCCACCGCTTCGTGAAAAAAAAAACTGCAACGATATAGATAGACCATTCCTCCTTCATCCATTTGCACTGGGAGCCGAGCCACAAATGCCTTCGCGAAGAAATCATCACTTCCTTCCCCTTCAAGGAATTCTGAAATTATGTGGTCAGCTTTCCAAGCAGATGCCGGATCACTGGGCGGAATAAGTCAGCTTTATGACCGACTTTGGTGAGATTTTGGGTAAAGCGACGGTATGAATGACGACGAGGACAAGAGGAGATATGGCGGTGTAGCAAGAGAAACTGTGACGCACCAGAATTTAGGAGAAGAGAAAAGGGTGGATGTGTACGGAGTATACGGCTGTGAATTGGGCGGCTGGGCCTGGATTTGGTGAGAATAAGCCGTGAGTCGTATTGTCGTTGTTGCTACAGATCTCTAACGTAACGATTGTTTCTTACATACACAGAAGGTTATGTCATGTTTTCCGTGGTTCTTCATATTGTCCGTTGCCTCGATCTGCCTGTTCATCGAACCTAATCTTCAGCCTGCATTTCGTTGTCTAGCTCGCAACGCCAACACCCAAGGAAGTGTTGTGCATCTGCGCTTGCATGTTATCGAGCATGGTCTGCGTGTTCTTCTGCGCATTGATGGCCTCGTCCAGCTGAACCTCGAATGTCTTGGTATTCATGGAGGTAGGGCTGCCAATGGGACTGTGGTCCACGCTCGTGGCGCTGCTGGACAGGGTTGGATAGCTGCCTAAGTTGGAGTGACTGCGATCTCTCTCTGCAGGCGTCTGACCTGCTGAGGTAGGTGCTATACCGACAGGCTTATTAGCTGCGCCCGTAATCGAATGCGCGGATGCACCGCTCCAAGCTCTCGACAGCTTTGGTCGTGCCCAGGAGGTCCAGCCATTCGTAAGGCGCTTAGGGATTTCATAGTTTCCATCAACGCTAGTTTTGGTCTTGACGTCGATCCCCTTGTCGCCTTTTTTCCAGTCGATTGGACATCCCTCGCCGAATTCGTCCTTGAAGATGAGCGCATCGAGGATCCGTTGCGCCTCGTCGACGCTGCGGCCAACATCGGCATCGTTGACCGTGATGTTGCGAATCCTGCCCTTTGGGTCGATGATGAAGAGGGCACGTTGAGCAACCCCCTCATCTTCGATCAGAACGCCATATTCGCGGCTTATCTTGTGATTGATGTCACTGAGAAGGGGAATGTGGACGCCTCCCAGACCGCCCTCCATCTCTTCAGTATCATTCCAAGCTTTCAAGCAATGCTCATTATCGGTACTGCAGAAGACGACAGCGCAAGAGCGCTTGTAGAGGAACTCGTCGAGGCGGGCGCTGAAGGCTTTGATTTCCGTTGGGCAAATGAACGACCATGCCTTTGGAAAGAACACCAGTATGAGCCAGTGATTGGCATCCACGTATGAGGAAAGAGAGATGTCTGTTTGGCACATCAGCACCCTTAGGCATTTTCCTTTTGGTGATGGATCATCTCACGTTTGAACCTCCCATCCACGACTGCAGTCGCTTTGAAATCTGGCGCTGGGTGGCCGACCTGAACTTTATGGTACATGGCGGTTAGAGAGTAGACGTATGACTAGAAAGATTCTGTTGAAGAGGTGTGTCTATTGGAGAATGTGCTTGGTGACAGAGTCGAGCCTTGACGCCAGACCATTGTTTTGTACTTGGCCTGCTTCGAGATCTGGATCCTTGAGGTTCACGGAGGGTGTGCAGTTCAAATTTCCGCATGCAGTGATGTTTTCATATACAGATACCGTGAGTCTGGTCCATCCAAGCGTATCAACGGAAGGGGTAGCCGCTCACCATTGTCCTTTGTATGAAGCCGGGAGGGGGGTCACCTGGGGTAAGGGTGCGCGAAGACAAAGGCGAAGATCGCGATGCACCCTTGCTCAGCCATGGATGGCCTGAATGTTGAGATCTGCTTTGTTCTGGAGCCGTCGCTATGCAATCGTCGTCCGTGCAGCTGGGAATTGAGTGGAAAATGGTGGCGATTGGAGAACGATGTATCTGAAGCCGCGGGTGACGCCGTGTCAAGCTATCGCACTACGTTGTAGGTCTAGTAGCCTTGTCACACTTCCTTAAGAAGAAGTACTGTTGCTTCCTGTTGGTCAATCTCTTGAGGCATTCCGCAGAGACATGGCCGAGGGGCGATGTCGTGCCTTGAATTCATATCTCGAGCAGGCATCATTGCGTATCGAGGTCACGTCGACGAGCTCGCGAGTGAACAGGTGGTACTGCTAAGTCGATTGTCTCTTGGTAAGAGCGACGTTAGTAGAAGACAGTGTCATGGTGTCAGGTTCATGATGGAGATGATGTCGGAGAAATGATGAGGTGGCAGTTGGACGGCCCGAGAGCTCTCCCAGCCACCCCACTGTTAGCCGACGCAACCAACCAGCCCCGCGGATTCTCACATGGCAACGACCGGGGGCGAGAAATAGGAACTGCGATTGCCCGTCCGGTTCGAGACTCGACCTGCACTGCTCACTTAAGTTGACTCCAGTCTTCACTCCTTCACGACTTTCATCTTGTACATATTGCGCTGACAGCGTCGTGTCATCCCGCGCGAACCACAAGGCGAACGCTTCCGACGACGCGCACACAGCTGCAGCCGTCGAAGTTCCCTGGAACTCGCTACAAGGATCATCGATAGCCTGCTCCATCGCCAGCCAGCTTCGTTGCGACAACTGCTACAATATCCTTGCCCTTCGCCAACCACAGCGTGCTGTCCGACTCGCTGTCGCCCTAGCTTTGGCTAGGATTTTCGGAAAGACAAAAGCACTCCGCTGTGGCAGGACGCCGTACTGTCTGACCTTCTCTCCGGCCTTTCGCATTCTTGTCGCGGTCAATCCGAGCCTCAGCCAACGCCCAATCAACACATTTGTTCCCTCCGACGACGCCATCGACTGAGCTTCACTCTTCGGCTTCCGGCTCCAATCACCACGCCATCAGTCGCGCACAGGCATAGCAATGGCGCTCTCCGGCTTCCTCTTCCTCTCATGGCGACTCTTCGAGATTCTCACACTCGCGCCAATCGTTGGCATGCTAGGCTGGTTCGTCAGCCAGTTCAACGACGCCAATCAACTCACACCCAACTACATACTGGTCCTCTTCATAGTGTCGGTACTGGCGTTAGCATGGGCGATCTTCACGCTGATTAGCTATCTCCGTGCGCGCCACGATGCTCTCTTCGTCGCCCTTGTCGACCTCGGATTCGTTGGAGCACTCATTGCAGGAGTGGTGGTTCTGAGGGGAATCGCCGGGGCGAGCTGCTCCAACTTCGGTGCCAGCATCAACATCGACGGCATTCGTGGTAACTCCTCCATCTATTACCACTTGGACAAGACATGTGCACTGCTCAAAGCGAGTTTTGCACTGGGAATCATTGATATCATTGCTTTCTTCGTCACCTTCGTAAGTTCGCCGGACTCGACTGGAGTCAAACATTCGCTGACAGATATAGCTGCTGGCACTCCTCGTCCACCATCACCACCGCGACGACGATCGGGTGATCGTGAAGCGAGAATACCACCATTCGCGACACGGTCATCGACGCTCTTCGAGCCGTGCTCGAAGCCGCGACTACGATTATCGACCACGAAGCGGAAGAGGCAGCGGGCACCGCTCCAGCAGTAGGAGGCAGTATTATGTCTGAGAAGGACGAGTCAGAAGCAATGAAGCGATGGCGTTGATTTAGAGGCATGAGGAAATTACAGCAAAAACGAACCAGGCGATGGGTTACGGGACTGTGATGAATGGAGATACGGAAGAGAATGACAAATTAATGAAAGGTATGGACTTTTAAAGCTCGAACAGCCCCGAACTTTGGATACTCACGGCGAGAGAAGCCGTCAGAGCGGCAGGGCCTCCTCTTCCCTTGCCCTGCTGAATCTTATGGCATGGATGGACTTCAATGAACCATCTTCTTAAGCTCTTCGCTCAAAGCCTTGTCAACAGCTCACTTTGCTAGGATGGTCGTAGGTTTGACCTCGGGACAAGTCGTCTCGTCTCGGAGCAGACTGGATCCAATGTCCATCGGTGGAAATGCGAAGCCTTGAACTGGCCAACAGATGATGGCGCCAATAGGATCGATCGTTCCTTTCCAGGCCAAAAACCCCACACCCTGCAAGGTATTGGCACGAGGGCATGGAGCAACCGACCAATCGCGGCAGACTCTGCTTCTGAGATGACCTCCATACGCGCAGCAGTCTTGAAGTGGGCCAACGGCCGAAGTGATGCATTTTCTGTCCCGAATACAGGCCAGCAAATTCACAGGGAGGCTCGGCGGCATCTCATGTAACTAGGTCCATCACGCTGACATCCCTTTGCATGACAATAGCCGCTTGAGGATCTAATCGACGATAGTAGCCGGGCTCTTTGCCGACCTCGCGAAACTTGCGCTTCCGATACCAGTCCAGGCCTTCTGTGTTTGCTTCCCAGACGTGGGCGCCGACGCTCTTGATGCCGTAATCTTCCACCGCCCTTGTGGTCAACGAGTGCAGCAAGTGGGACGCAATGCCGTGGCTTCGATATGGAGAGAGTAGAACGAGCGTACTGAGATACAGCATTGGGTCTTCTGTTCGCCTCCCTGAGCTGCTATTCTGGGTCGGCGGATGCGCGAGCAATCGGCACCTGATCGCTCCCACAAGCCGGCCTTTCTCCACGCCTTTCATTGCTGGAACGTCATGCCAGACGGCGAGTAGGGTGATGTTGTTTGTCAATGGATCCTCGATGATCTCCTTGTAGAACTTCTCCGGGTAGGGAATTGGAAGCAGAAGGCTTGTTAATCTTTTGAGATGAGGAATGTCCTCTTTGGAGCACGAGCGCAATTCCACATTGGGCGGCAACGGCTTGAGACCCTTCAGTGGTAATCCGGCAAGTGTTTCCTTCGAGATATGGCTGTTGTCACTCGCGACGGAAGCCTCTCCATCCTCAGGAGGGGTGGGCAATTGTCCAGGTCGGGTCTCTATGGCGTTTTCTTCCAAGTCCGCTGGTCCAGATGGGGGCTCCTTGACAGTTTTCGGCTGTTTCAACCATGTCATGAGCGAGGCTTGCGGCATCTCGTGTCATTTCTGGAATCGTGATGCATTGACACGTGCCTGTTGTTACTGGAGGACGCGCCTGGTGAAAAGTGAGGTCGTCGGCGATGTTTCGGAAGTCCGAGTTCCGAGCCTGCCTCTTGGAAAAGCTACGCCAGAGCATCTCCAGCCGGCAGAAACAACTCGGCCTCTTCTGCTGCAATGGGCTCGGGCGGCTCCAGACCGGAGCAACATATATTCAATCCGTAAGCTGATTGATACCTACAGGACGGCCATTGACAAAGTGATTACTGACTGCAGAACAGCGACGCGCCGGTGAGGTTAAGCCAATCTGCGATCAACACCCTACAAAACAGTCCAGAGGTAAGAACACCGCACGAGGCAAGTCTTGCAGATGCTCACAGAGTGGAACCAGACCGATTCAACCCGCGCCCAAGATCTCGAACTCAAGGTCCAGCAGCGCGTCAACGCTGAGCTGAAGCGGATCCGCGACTCCCAATCCCACAAACTCGAATCCATAACAGCCTCCCTCACAACAAATTCTCCCCAAGAAGACGCAAAGGCACCCGAAGCTGGTCACAGTCCGCACTCTCTCGCCTACCACCTCAGCTCGCCTTTCTACCACGACCATTCCGGCGCAAAGCCCGAGACTCCCGCATCTGCAGATTCAGGGCGCAGCCACGACAGTGTAGAAAAGGAAATCATGGACCTCCGACAGAAGCTGGAGCAGCGGAAAAAGGTCGAGAAGCTTCCCGAGGGAGTCGAAAAAGCTAAGGCGAGCCTGGTACAATGTCTGCGGACCAACGACCGGAAACCGCTGGATTGCTGGCAGGAGGTGGAGTCGTTCAAGGCGGAAGTCGGAAAGCTGGAGAAAGCGTTTATTCAAAAAGCTGGAAGATAGAGAAGAGCTCCGGGTAGAAAGTGTATATACCCTAGTGTACCAATACATGAGGAAGCAGCGTGTACATTTCGTTAGGTCCTGCGGGCTATCAGGGGATTCAGGACGCTCTCATGTTCTTTGGCCTTGGCCGACTGCCCCACGTATCGTGCTCTAGCTAAAACAGGCCAGCGGTGTATAGCATAAAGTGGAAGTGTTCGGATACCACGTGAGAGCCTCTAGCAACGACGATTCACTACACTCTGGCGAACGGGCGGAATGCTTGCTGACGAATGAACACTGGAGACGACCTTCTCGACAACAGCCTGAGAAATTCGCCCGTGGCAACAAGCTCATTTTCTCTATCCTCTAGTATGTGATTCAGCAGGCTCGTCTTCACTGGTGCCTCAATAGTCAGAAAGCTTTCAAGGCACGAGTAGGGCCGAATAGGCTGCCCATTGGTATCTAGGTAGCATAGCAACAAGAAATAGAGCGGAGGATAGCTTCTAAAGCCAGCCAGTAGCTACGAACAATAAATTGGATCGATGAAGTGGTCGCTTTGAACCAACCTACCTCAACCTTAAGCAAAGCAGTAATCATGAAGACACATAACAAATGAAGAATCCCTACTATTTGGAGCCTTGCATTCAAGCGCCCGTCAATTCATGACGTGTTGACGATTTCCGGACCAAAAAGAATGGCACTCAACACCATTGAATACCAGTCGGACATCAAAATAATTGGTCAGTACGAGGGTCGAACTCGCGACCTTGGCGTTATCAATATCCTCACTGGATGAGGACCTTTATTAGCACCACGCTCTAACCAACTGAGCTAACCGACCATTCGTTGGGTTTCCATCCAATGAATGAGCGCCAAGTAGAACAATACGTATATGTAGCTTACAGATTCTCTCCCGAAGATGTGCCGGCTTTGCTAGCCTGATAAGCTCCGAGCTCAGTAAGGTAACTTCTTTCACTCTTGACACAGCATACATATATGGTCTCCTTCGGCTTGGACAGCTACCATTACACAAAGAACATGCTGGAAATCGCCATGATGTTGCGGCGAAGCATCAAATTGCCCCCGTGGCCAGAAACTACGCGAGTGCGGCCCCCACCGGCCAATACCGCGATGAGAGAATGGAGCTTCTCAATTGTTCTCCACACACGGAGTCAAGACCATATGGGCAGTTACACCGCAGCACCATGGCAAAGCACGCCCGATCTTGGAGTTCTGGTAGCTGTAGACTTGCGGATCAACGGGCCGTGGAACCACCTTTCTCGAACGAAGGTGGCTCACTGATCAAGATATCCGCCCTGTCCGCAGACGCCAAATGGGCATATCGATCTCTTGCCCATTGGCACGCTCTCCCCCTTGTACAAATAGAGATAGATGAATGCAAATACTAATGTTGATGTATCTGCATGTGCGACGGAGTCTTCCGCTCGATCGGAGTGACGTTGCCGCTACCCTGCACGAGCTCAGAGCCCCACCAAAATCGTTTTCCTCAACACCAACATGAGCATCACGGCGAACTTGTGGGAGCTTGCGACACAGCTAAGTTAGAATCGGTCTCTTGCGTCCTGATTTGCCGATGACATCGCATTGCCAGTAGGCGCCCTCTTCTGCACTGCCCCCAGGCCGTTCGCTTGAGGAAGTCCTTCTCCTGCAGCCTTATCCTCCCCTCTCCCCTCCCCCCACTCGCAAACAATACGCGTCGACGTTCGTTGCCCTTCTCCCTTACTTCTTGTTTCAACGACTCCATTCGGAATTTGACATCAGCCGGTTCGCCCTCGGCATCATGGCACTCCAAGATGGCGTCGACACTCCGGAGGGCGTTTTCTCCCTGCTCGATACCGACCTCTACAAGCTGACTATGCAGGCCGCCGTCCTCAAGTACTATCCGAAGATACCAGTCACCTACCAATTCACCAACCGCACACCCCACATGCGTCTCACCCATGCGGCATACACCTGGCTACAAGCCCAGATCCAGAAGCTCGAGAACATCACCGTCACAGACGAAGAAATTGCCTGGCTGAAGAAGAAGTGCGATTATCTGCCGGAGTCATACTTTGAGTACCTTAGAGGATTTCGTCTCTACCCGCAGGAACAAGTGAAGCTGAGCTTCAAGTCGGTCAGCTCGGGCGACCTCACAGATTCTACCCCTGGAGACATTGATCTCTCCATCCAAGGTCTGTGGTCCGAGACCATCCTCTACGAAATCCCACTGCTCGCTCTCACGTCCGAGGCATATTTCAAGTTCGTCGATCGCGATTGGAACCACAATGGACAGATTGAAAAGGCAAAAGATAAGGGACTGAAGCTTCTCGAGGCGGGCTGCGTGTTCAGCGAGTTTGGTAGTAGGCGGAGAAGAGACTACAAGACGCATAAGATGGTCCTGCAGGGCTTGATGGAAGCTCGAAAAGACGCAGAGAAATACCCAGAGTGGACAGGCAAGCTCACAGGCACTTCTAATGTGCACATGGCGAAGCAGTATGACCTTGATCCGATCGGCACGGTTGCTCATGAGTGGTTCATGGGCATTGCAGCCATCACCCAAGACTATGCCAACGCGAACGACAAGGCCATGCAGCAGTGGATCGGCACATTTGGTCCTGGTGTTTTGGGGATTGCACTCACGGACACTTTCGGTACGCCATCCTTCCTCAAAGCTTTCAAGCGCCCACCACCAAAGAGTAGCGACACGGACGATGTAGACTGGAATCAGCCAAGCTACGCGCAGCTCTTCAACGGCGTGCGTCAAGACTCCGGCGATCCCCTGGATTACGTACGCATGATGCGGACCTTCTACGACAGCCAGGGAATAAAGGACAAGAAGATCGTGGTCTTCTCTGACAGTCTGAACATCGAGCGTTGCATCAAGTACAAGGAAGCCACAGAAGAGGCCGGACTTACGCCAAGCTTTGGAATCGGCACATTCTTCACCAACGATTTCTGGCACCAGAATGAGAACAAGAAGAGTGTTCCGCTCAACATTGTGATCAAGTTGAGCCAGGCGAACGGATATAACGCTATCAAGCTGAGTGATGACAAGGGAAAGAACATGGGCAATGAGGAGCTGATGCGGTCCGTCAAGGAGCAGGTCGGGTACCAGGAGAAGGAGTGGGAGGGCGGAGATGAGGCTCACCGATGGGATAAGAACGACGAATGAAAGAGTTCCAAGTTGCGAATGGAGCGTTCAGCGTGAAAGAAAGACATGACATAAGCGAAGGATACCCGAAGGAAAGCGTGGCGTTTGTGGGCGTTTAGAAACGGGACGCGACCATCGGAGCTCGACTATACTGAGCCTCAGAACAAGAACAGAAAAACTTCAGCAACATCTTGTTCCTTTCCTATGTTTCGATGTGGTGTGTGGTGAGAGTTCTTGGGTGATATGACTGCCTTCGTACGACCTGTCGGTCCTACCCACGCAGCACCCGACGTCAACAGCCGGACGCTCGAAGTTGACGATGTGTCTCGTGAGTACTCGTGCTAATATCTCCTGATCTTGTTGCCCGGCATTGGTTTCGGGTTGCACGAGGAAGTCGAAACCGGCCAGCCCTCGAGGTCGAGTTCATTGGCGGAGGATTGAGTTTACTTGGACTGAAAGTATAACTGACCTCATGTGTACGGGCTGTCATCTTCCATTCCTTCGACGACGGAACTGTTCACCAGAATACTGCGGCCGCGACCACGATCTGGAAGTCTCTCTTCGGCTCACTCAATGTATGCCGACTCCGACAAGTATCAGCGACGTAAAAGTCGTGCAGGAAGTTGATTGTAGAAGAAGAAGGAAATGCAAGTGCTCCTATCTCTCTCTGAAAATCTACACAGCTGACGCTCGAACAGAATCCAGAAACCAGTCTCAGCGTGGATGCTACTCACAATACAGTCTCACTCTGCTTCGACTGCTCCTTCTCAGCGGGCAGTGAGGGCGTAGGAGAAGCCGGGATGGCCGTCCTCCACTTTCTTGCTCGCCACGAGACGAACACAATCGGAATCCAACTGACGACGAAGATGATGCCCGCCATCAGGCCACCGCTTCCACTGCCACCCAGGGACTCCAGCATATCCGGAAACCAGAATGGGCCGATGAAAGCCCAAGTCGACCCTAGATTGTGTGTAAGTCAATTGCGTTTGCTGGAAAAGTTGGCCTGTACTTACTGATTGCGTTGATGAAGACACCGATACTGGCGCTGTGTTCGACATGACTGTCGACACAGTATGTCGTCACGACGGTTGTGACGATCTGGTTCCCGACAGCAGCGATCGCGACGCCCACGATCGGCGTCACGTTCCAATGTCCCTGCGGAGCTTGTTCGAAGCGCACACCGAAAACGATGACGCCGACCATTGATAGCAGAAAGCCGCCATAGCTGAGCCAGAGCCGGTATTCCGGTGGAGGAGCACGGTTCAGAGCTTTAGCCCTCCGACTCATCCAGTAATCGCTCATCCTCCCTCCAATCTGCTCGCCTACAATGGACCCGATAATGTTGCCCAGGAACTGCAGGCCAATCTGCTGAGAATTGAAGCCGAATTTCGGAACGAAGAGCTGGGGGATCTCCACGGTCATCAGGACACTTGTAAAACCAAAGACCACGGCATACGAGATCGTTGGGATCCAGATTGTCGCGTACTTAAACAGCTCCAGTGGCTGAATGAATTCGTACAGTCGGAAGGGATTGGGGTCTATTCTTCGGAATTGCAGGTATTCCTGCTTGAAGGCAGAGCCTCTGTGTTCGACACCACGGCGGATGTAGCGGGTTTCCGGGCCGAAGAAGATGTACAGGATGAACTGGATGCCGTTGACGATTGCGAGAACCCAGTACACCCACCGGTAATTTCCGGTCTGGTAGCCGACAAAGCCCATGAAGAAGGGACCGCATGGGGGACCTGTCATGAAGCAGACCGCGAGTCAGCACAAAAATCTGAAGGGACAGCGTCCTTGCACATGGGATAGTCCTCTCGACAGTCCCAGCCGCCAGCACGTCACTGTCCGACTTGCTGTTGCCCTTGCCATCGCTAGAAGACTCGGCCAAAAGCGCCTTCCAATTTGCAAAGACGCTGCGGAAGTAAGTTCAGGACAAAGTATGACATACCTAACGTGACCAGCAGTGTCCATACGCCCATGTACTGTGCTCTTTGACGCTTGAAGTATGTTTCGGTCACGACGCCACTGCCGATGGCAGTTGCTGGACTGAGGAAGAAAGATGTGAACGCTCGACAGGTCGCCATGGCCGCGTAGCTGGATGTGAGCGCACAGCCCACGTTGAACAGCAGAGAGCCCATGGTGCTGATGAACCAGATTGGTCGTCGTCCGTATCGGTTTGAAAGCGGCTTCCAAAACAGAGGCGCCCAGCCAAGAATCGCAATTTGCAGCGACGTGAGATAACTCGCTTTGGTGATTGAGACGCCGAAGTCTTCCGAGATGTTCTCGTACACTGGGATGATGGCTGCTGCGATGAAGGTCGTCATCATGGCCTGTGAATGTCAGCGGGCACGATCGAGTATCCAGCTGCTACGGACAGAACATACGTGGAACCCGACAAGGACCAGATTGGCCATCTTCTTCCACTCGGGCCTATAATCATGTTAGCAAGCATGATCGACGGCTCCACTACTTCGGACAAGACATAACAATTGTATGGATCAGCCGGATCGTCCGAGGGAATCGGATCCAGATCGAGAGTTCCATGGCGCTGAAGCAGGTAGTCTCGATGATGTTGCCGGAGAGTCGCGGCTGCGCCGAAACTGATATTGGTCGAGCGATGGCCGATCTCCACGTCCGAATCGTTGACATTTGGGACCGGCGGAAGGTCCAGTGAATCCGGCTTTTCCACCACACTGGGAGCGAAATCCCTCTCTCCGGTCGTCTCTGCCATGACGATGTTTTTTGCAAGGCGGCAGATTGGTGTTGCAGAGCGGAGTAGGTGCGGTGCTCAGGTGATATCCCTGCCTTCTCAGCCTCTTCCAGAATCCTCCCTGGAATCCTTCCTGAACTCGTTGCCGCTTGGGTGACGTTAGAGAAAAGACTACCCGCGAAAGTGGTGGCCTGCCAGAAACTGCGGGTGTGGGCGTGTTTTAAGGTCAGGAAGCACAGCACGGAAGACACGAGACTCTCTCCCGAGATACGAAGAGGAGCGGAGCGCCAATCAAGCGCAAAGAACTCTTTTGAGCCCCCTTCGGGAAAATAAGCCAAGCAGCAGCACACCCTTTTTGGGGACGAACAACCGGCCAGAACGATAACGGTAAGATCTCCCACTCAGAAGTCTGCAGCGGCGTGTGGATGGAGAGTAGCAAAAAGCGCGCGGTGGTGGGCGACGAGACGAGACGAGACGAAGAGAAGAAAACACGAGAGAGAGAGAGAGAGAGAGAGAGAGAGAGAGAGAGAGAGAGAGAGAGAGAGAGAGAGAGAGAGACAGCAGCTCCTACCGCTCAGAAACAGAGGAATCGATATGCCGGTAGCGCGTGCGGTAGGCGACGCCCTCTCGTTCGCTCGCATATTAATAATAGATAGATGGGAACGTTCCGACAACCAGCAGCAGCAAGCAGCAGCAGCAGCAATGATGTCGGCGTCGCAAGTCCACCAATTTTTCCCCACGAAATGATGCTGGGAAAGATGTCACTTTCATTTCCCCAGCTGATGATCCTCACCGCTGGACACTACACCTCCACAGTCCACACAAGGCCCATGTTGCGGCGTGTCCCCCCCCCCTTCTCCAGACATTCATTCCCAGTTGCCGTTGTTCGTGGCCGAGAGGGAGAGGAAGAGCGACGCGAGGGGCCGTGCGTGGAGCTCGCGTCGCACGAAAAAAAAGAGGTTGCACAAAGGCGAAGTGGCGGAATTGACGTATTCAAGAGGTTCATTTGAAGCGAAGGATGCTGCGTGCTGTTCCATTAGGATAGATTCCGCCCTTTTTGGAGGCGTTCTGATTGGCACATGTCATGGGAAACCCTTGCCCTGCCAAGAGGGGGCGACATGGGGTGATTGCGCCGCTTCGGGCGACGATGCGGATGTCATACTCCGCCTAGGTGCTACCTTCGCCTTGCTGCTATGATGATCTGTGATGATGATGATGATGAGGTGCCAACTCCTCCCTGCCTCGCTGACGTAGAAAACGTAGCCAATCAATCCGCGTTCTCGTCGTCCTGAATCCATTCGCGAGAACCAATCGAGCATTCCAGACGTTCTCGTTGTATGCTGGACCGAAAGTTTCTTCTGCCAACGTCACTATACGCCGCCTCGGACACATATCCCCAAACCCCTTCAGCACCATCATCAAGCACCATCACTCCTCACGATACATGTACCTCCTCCGCACGCCTCGCAATCCGAATCTCGGGCCCTTCCTGCACCACGAAGAAAGTCGAATGATACCGGGGTTCCTCCTGAGGCCTCAAGAGTTCCATCTCATAATTGCGGAACAGCAAAGGCAACGTCTTGTTCATTTCGAGTAGAGCGAGGTTCTTGCCGATGCAGAGATGGCTGCCGCCTCCGAACTGGAGCAAAGAAAAAAAAATCCCAAATTAGCATTATTAGCGACCAACCCACCAACCTCTGCAACGACAACGACAAACCCTTTGATTGATTGATTGATTGATTGATTGATAAGGGGGGGTAAAGGGTAAAGGGAAGGGGGACACCTCACCTGGAACATGTGCCTCTCCATGGCTTTGGCTTTCGCATCACCTTCCATCCACCTCTCGGGTCGGTAGACTGTGGCATCGCGGCCGAAGATTTCGGTATCCCGATGCAAGACCCAGCCGTTCAGCGCGACTCGTGTGCCGCCGGGGAAGCGCTGGCCGTGGATCTCTGCGCCCCCGGGAGGCACCAGACGGGTGATGTTGAGCCCGACGGCGGGGCGGATGCGCATGGCTTCTTTGAGGCAGGCTTGGAAGTACGGCAGCGCCTGGACTTCGGTCCACTGTGGCATCTCGGAGAGCTTGCCGGCTGCGGCAGCTTCGTCCAGCTCCCGTTTCAGGGTGGCGTAGATGCGAGGATCGCGCAGGACGTGCCAGCAGAAGCTCTGCATTGTTGAAGCGGTCGAGTCGGATCCGGCGAAGCTAAGAGTTAAGATTCAGCAGCCATTTCTCGGAACTTTTTTATTTGTTTTGTGTCTTTCCAGAAGACAAGACAAAGACACTCACATGGCACCATGAGCGACGGCAAAGACATCACCTTCCTTGAACGCAGCAGGTGCCTTCTCGTGTGCATCGAACAAAGCCGCCATGAGATCTCTGCGCTCCAGCTGCTTCCCCAGTCTCTTGCGCTGTTCGATCTCGTCCAGCGCCATCCGAGTGATGAGGAAATTGCTCGTGCTCAGCGCCGGTATGTACTTCCACAGCGGATTGCGGCGAAAGACAAAATCCCACTCCGGGATCTGACCCACGATCCCGTCGTACCATTGCATGTCGTCGATGGTCTTGATCGCCTTCTCGATGTCGTACCCAGCCTCGAGAAAGCCAAACTTGCGGGAGAAGGCCAGCTCTCCCAACACGTCAAAGGCGAAGTAGTGCAGGTAATTCCCCAGATTGCAGTACCCATCCGGCGACTGACACATGCCGTCGAGCTTCTTCATCAGCAGACGTTCCGTGTCTTCGATATACCCGCTCATCGTGTGCATCGTGGCCATGCTGTACGGATTCGACGCATATCGCTTCTTGACGGCGTGCACGTCCTCGCGCGTCTCAGTGAAGATATCCGGATTCTCGGGCGGCGGGAAGACGCCATAGAAGTCGGTCTTGTGGAATCCTTTGCCCGCTGCGAGGATCTCTCTTGCGGCGTGTGGAGAGGCGAAGGAGAGCTCGTTGGGTGCGATACGCACTACGGGACCGTGTTTCTCGTGGATGAGAATGTGGTCTCGTTCGGTATGGCCGGACCAAGTGCTCCAGACTGTTTGACAGCTCGTGTCAGTAGTAGATTCTGAGATGGCGAATTGCCTGCATTTATTTACCTTTCCAAAGTCGACTTCCCGAGGCCAGGAAAGGTCCCGGATACTTCCTCAGAGGCGAGGCATACTTGTAGTAACAAAAGCGGCAGATGAAGATGATAGGAATGAGCAAGGGCCAGTATGTCCGTAGCTGTCTGAGAGTCGTAATGACGAGCGAGTTGCCATTGCTGTCGATGTCTACTACGGCAGCCATGGTTGAAATGGTCTGCTTGGAGCAGGCTGATTGAGTACAAAATGGGACGGAAGTATTGCTCACATCTTGCGAGGGCCAGTGATATATATGTATATATTATCCAAACTCCATCAGGCGCTTGAACGGAATGCCCGGAAACAGGGTTGACGCTAAACTGTGGGGAACTGGGGACGAGGAGTGTGGAAGACGGCTGCCGGTGTTCTGGACTTGTCGCGAAGCGGCTCCGTTGTGGACGCTGAAGTAATCGTTGTCGTTGCTGGTGGAAGAGATGGTGCAGGTTGATAATCGAGGTCTGGGAAACTACACATAATTTGTCTGGATTATGGATTTAGCCTGTTACATACTTAGGCCTTCTTAGGGCTTCGGAATCGTTGTGCCGAAGATCTCCACTCCTCTTGCCGAATGCGTAGCGCCTGGCAGGTCCTAAATGATACCAAAGCACGCGGTTCAGATCAAGCGCGGCCTTTCGCTGAGGGAAGCGCCATGGTTTGACTCGGCTGCGAAAGCTTGCAATGTACGTCGAAGAGGCAGCACTGGAGGAGAGGTTGTAGGTGACGCGTGAGAATTCGCCGGCCAATCATATCTGGGATTCTCAAATCCGCCGTTATATGTACTATAACCGTAGAAGAAGCCTGTTCCAACACCTCGCTCGCTCCCAATAACAGCCAACTTGAAGGCCCTTCCTCTCGGCTGGGTCGCTGTATCATGTCTTCTTCTTCATCATCATCATCATCATCATCACACTCTGCCTGTCTGGACTCTCGCGCCCTTCGTATTGTAAACCCTTCCGCATGCCCTCCTCACGCAATCGGCTCGTATCCGCCCGGGTTGTGGGCTGCGCGGTTGGAGAAGAGCCAGTAGATGACAATGCCGCCGATGGGGAAGATGAAGACGAGCAGGCACCACAGGAGCTTAGAGAGGGGCGGGCGATTGGATTTCAAGACCTCGACTACATCCGGCGGTCAGCAGGCGCAATGTAGGCTGGGAGCGCGAGTCGGTCGTTTCACACTCACTCCACACGATGATGTCCAGGATGAGCACGATGAAGCCGATGATGCCGCCGCCGGTTCCGTACTTCTGAGAGGGGTTCATGCCCTGGGTCGTCGTCACCTCGTCGGCGATGGGCGCAGCCCAGGCGAGAGCGGCCAGGCATAGCTGGAGGAGGAGATTGATTGGGGTTTGCTGGAACATGTTGGGCGTGCCGTGTTCAGTCGTTGCAATGTGGGTGGGAGGGTTGGGTATGAGAAGAGGAGCAGGATACGCAACGCAGTACGAAGAACAGGTGAGCCCCACCTTGGGAAGGTGGTCACGAGAGCTGAGGTAGGTGATGT